GAAAGAGTGACTTATAGGACGAGGAAGATATTGGAATATTTCGTAACTTCCAGGATTTAAAATAGTGATTTTATTTATAAATCATCAGCTTGTTTCATCCATGTCAGTTGAGTATAATATAGAAATAGATCAAATCTCATAGTACAGACATCATACATACATAGATTATTTAGCACAGGGGTGGCCAACCTACAGCATGTGTGCCACAAGTGGCATGGGCTTCTCTGTGTGGCACATGGCAGATCAGGGAGGGAACAAGCAGCACAGTGGCAGATAGGGCAGGAAACAGAAATCAGAGCAGCTGATGGGGCAAGGAGCACAGGCAGAAAAAAGAAAGCAGAGCAACAGATCAGGCAGAAGAAAGGTATCCAAGTACTATTTGCAGAGGGTGCTGAGCTAATTTGTGGCAACCCTGCCATGAAGATATACAGACATGTTCAATAGCATAAAATGTTATAATTAAAATCAATAAACACATTATTCTTAAAATTTATAGGCCAGATAACAGGTTGGTGTAAATCAACATAAGTCCATTGCCATGTTATGAAGTTACAAGTCCCACACATTTAAAATGGATCTTGAATTTGATAATGTGAATATGAAATGAAAGCCGTGACGTGTTGCTTTTAGTTCTATTTGTTGCATTTCATGCTATACCTTGCACTGAGGTTTTTATTCTTTAAAGAACTTTCTTGTAAAAGTATTTAGCTAAAAGTGGAGAAGTTCAGTTCATAGCTGGATTTGTCTGACAGTTACAAATCCATAGACTGTATGCTGACACTCAGGAAGATGGATGGGGTGACTTTTTTTAATGTCTTTCTTACTATATTTTCAATGGTACTGTACCAGGAGTGTCATAGAATCATAGAATCATAGAAGTAGGGTCAGAAGGGACCTTGTAGATCTTCAAGTCCGACCCCCTGCCTGGGCAGGAGGAAAACTGGGCTCAAGTGACCCAAGTCAGGTAGGCACCAAGCCGCTTCTTAAAGACCCCCAGGGTAGGAGCCAGCACCACTTCCCTTGGAAGTTGGTTCCAGATCCTAGCCGCTCTGACTATGAAGTATTTCTTATGGATGTCTAATCTAAACCTACTCTCCAACAACTTGTGGCTGTTATTCCTTGTTATCCCAGGGGGCACTAGGGGAAACAAGGTCTCCTCCAAACCCTTCTGGTCCCCACTAGTGAGTTTATAGACAGTCACCAGGTTCCCCCTCAGCCTTCTTGTGAAGGCTGAACAGGTTCAGGTCCCGTAGCCTCTCATTGTAGGGTCTGCCCTGCAGTCCCCGGATCATGTGGGTGGCCCTCCTCTGGACCCTCTCAATGTTGTCCACATCCCTCTTGAAGTGGGGTGCCCAGAACTGGACACAGTACTCCAGCTGTGACCTGACCAGTGTCACGTAGAGGGGGAGGATCACCGCCTGGGCCTTACTCGAGATGCACCTGTGGATGCACGATAGTGTCCAGTTAGCCCTGCTGACTGTGACCTCGCATTGTCGGCCCATGTTCATCTTGGGATCAATGATGACTCCAAGATCCCTTTCTGCCTCTATGCTCTCAAGAAGGGAGTTTCCCATCTTATAAGTGTGCTGCTGGTTACTACTGCCCAAGTGTAGCACCCTGCACTTGTCAGTATTGAAATGCATCCTGTTTTTGTTAGCCCACCCCTGCAACCTATCCAGGTCTTGCTGCAGTCTTTCCCTCCCTACTAGCGTGCCCACCTCACCCCAAATTTTGGTATCATCAGCAAATTTGAACAGGTTGCTTTTCACCCCATCGTCCAAATCACTGATAAAGAAATTGAACAGTGCGGGCCCA